CACACTGTGCCAGGACTACACGCTTCTTTTGTTTTTTAAAATGACTGTATAACAGCAACAAACGACGACGACGGTCAAAATATGAGCACACCTGCTGAGAGCTGACCTGACTCCATTTAGCCGTATGATGCCACCTACTGTGTCTTTTAGGTATTGCACCAAGCAGAAAATAAACACATAAGGCTCCGAGAGTCTGTGAGGGGAGGAACAGATTAGGGTGATGGAAAGGAGGCCTTCCGACTTGAAAGACTTGGAGTTCATCACCAAAGATAAATATTCTCCTTTAGCAGAAACAAACCTTTTATTTAAATTTAAACCCATCAGGATTATAAATAATTCAGAAATGTTTGGTCAAAGCTTGCTCTTGTGTTTTGTTTATTTTGATGGCAGAACCTCAGTTTTCCACAAGAGTATGAGTCTCTTTTCGCACAAAGCTGGTTGAGACATCTTCCCGTTTACTTTCCACCTTTCAAGTCTGCACTATTTTGCGTTGGCCTAACAGAAAATCACAATACAATACACACAGGTGTGCTGTTGTAGCAAGGTATGGATACTTTTGCACGGCATTCGCTTGTAGAGAGAGAAATGGGACAGCTTCATGGTGTTATTAAAAAAAAATATATCTGATTTTATTGTAAAATAAATAACTACAAGAATCCCACGTGAACAGGCTTGCTTAATCACATCTGTGTTAGCGGAAACACCGATGGTATCGCAAAGCTGCAAACCAAACCGTGTTTACAGAAATGAAAACATGAGGGTCACTTTTTTTAAAGAGATGTGACACATATGTACAGCTCTTTAACAATAATAATAATAAATAAAAAAAACCCATGACGATCCACACATCTGTTACTGAGGATTTCAACAAATCACAGGAGAACATCGGCCGTTTTCACATCACTTTGGACGTCATTTCCACTGAACTAAACCACTGGGAACCAGGCGGGAGACGTTTCCACTGACTGTACCTGTACAATAAACCCTGGACTGGAGTTTTCTGAACCAAACGGGATTGTGGGTAATGCTGTTGTGCGTTTTCTAGGCAGAATTAGCTGGACATGAAGCCCACAGTACCACTGCGGCCAGACTAAGGTGAAGAGAAAGAACTGGAACTGTGTTCGCACCAATGTGTCCACGATAAAGAGATGATGGTTAAGAGCAGCATATGTGGCATTTTGCCTACATTCAGGGGTGATTGAACTAAAAAAAAAAACTAGAGTTTTCATGTTTAAAGTAAGTTTTTAAACCTTCAAAAGTGTTGATGCAACTCGGTGTTTGCTAATGAAACTTTACCAAACATTCATCTAAATACATGCGCTTCCTACACATCAGTACAACGCATTAAGGCCTTTGTAGATAGAAAAAAAATAGAAAATATCTGCCCAAAGACATTTTCAGATTAATCTCAGAAATTAAAAAAAAATAATAATAATAATTCAAAAGTTTAAAATTCTGAAATTTTGAGATTTCTGAAATTTTCTAGAAAAAACTAGGAAATTTTGAGTTTCAAAAAGGAGAAAATGTTTGGCTTTTCAAACTCAGAAATGTCCTTGTTTTTTCTATAAATGTACTGAGATTAATCTCAAAACTTGGGATTTTCTCAAATTTTCGACATTTGGAATTCAGAAATTTCCTCGTCTTTCTAGAACATTTCTGACATCAATCTAAAAATTCCTGAGTTTTGGGCAGAAATGTTCTTTTTTCTGTCTCCATCTACAACAGCACTGATACGCTGCTGCAGTGAATTCTTTCCTCCTCATAATTTGCCATTATTTTTCATGACTGTTGCAAAAGCTGACCATGTTTGTATCTCTATTCTCCGTCCATAGACCAGAAACTAATATTAAAAACAGTTAAGACTGAGTCTTCTTCATTCAGTGATAACTTTCACGCCAGAGAGTGTTGATATCAGTGCAAGTTCTAAAGCTGAACAAAAAAAGTTTGGATGCGATTTTCCGAACGGTTAGGCTTCTATTCGGACTGGAATTAGTCTGATTGCAGAGCTAGAGAAGTCTTGGTTCACCTCTTTTTGCTAGAGTTCTTGTGGAAAACAAGGAAATCCTTTGGCAGTGCTAAGATGAAATAGTGGAAACCTATATTTTGAAGCTGCTGCAGCATTTGCGTCACTCCTGAAATCAGAAATATAAAGTCACAGCTCAGGGGGATTGTTCGCATTTGTGGGGACACAAAAGAGGAAAAAGGTTTCTAGCTGTGATGAGGTCAAAGGACAAAGACCTTTAAACGCTATTTAAATATTTCCTAAAAAACTACAAATAAAAACTGTTAAAACAATGAGTTGAACCAACACTTTGCCAGGTTTTTTAGGGGCCTATCCTTTAGAATCATCTGCTCTGTGTTTTATCGCCGGTTGTCATGACGTCCCGCCCCTGCATGTCCACAGGAAGCGTCTCAGTCTGTGATGTCCTCCTCCAGGTCGCTCTCGGGGGAGCTCCTCTGTCTGTACTCTGAGGTGTTGGACAGCCGTTTCCAGCTGCAGGTGTCCTTTTGACTCCCCATGCTCTGCGAGCGTCCCAGCTGGGCCAGACGCTTGGACGGCGTCCTCTCCTCCGAGTCGTCGGCCACGCTGCCCTGGGCCCGGTCCGAGGCCGGCTGCTGGAAGTCGTGGCGCAGATTCTCCAGGTTTAGAGCCCAGGGGCCGAGCTTCTGCCAGTTCACCCTCTGGAAGGCCATGATGCAGTGCAGGTTACCGCCCACCTGTCACACACGTTGTTCAGAGAGGCACCACTTCAGTGTGGAACACAGCAGGGCTCCTACATCGTAGCTTTTTTTTTTAAATTATTGGCCATTTTAAAAGTTTGATTTAAAATAGGCAAATTCATTTTAGTATAGGAAGAACCAAAGATTATAATGAGTGAAAAGGAAGCCTTCTATGCTCAAAGACTGGGAGCTCAACAAAAAAAAACAGTGGTAACAGAAAAAAATTGTCAAAAAGAAGAAAGTAAACCAGGAAATAAGGAAGTAAGTGTGACATGAGAAAGGAAGCAAGAAAGGAAAGTAGGATAGAAGAAAGGAAAGAAAAGAAGGATAGAAATAAAGACAAAGGAAGGAGGGAAGGAAAAAAGGAAAGAAGAAAGGAAGGAAGGAAGGAAGGAAGGAAGGAAGTATAGCAGCAAATGAAGGGAAAAGGAAAAGCCTGAAAAAGGAAGTAAGGAAGGAATGGGGGGAAGGAAATTAGGTAGGAAGGAAGAATGAAGCAAGTTGGATATGAAGGAAGTAGAACAGGCAGGAAAGAAGACATGAAGGAAAAACGAAAGAGAGAAAAATACTTTCAATACTAACACAGATCTGATATTACGAATAATTACTAAATATCCCGACTTGTCCAGCCACTGTAGGAACCCTGATGATGAAAATGTACCAAGCTTTAGAACAGGAACCTTTTTGGTCTTGCGGCGCTGCAGTCCCCTCTCTGTGTGGCGGATGTCCAGGTAGTCTGGATTCTGTGTGTTGAGGTCAGTCACGATGTCCATCCATCTGCACAGAGAAGGTCCTGATCAGCAGCTCAGCAGGAGAGACAATTACATTTCCCTACTGAACTGAAGAGAAACATACTTTTTACAGTGGATGGCTGCATGTTTCCTACTGGGCTCGCCGATTAAGATCCAGTGTTCCATTTCATTTGTGGGCAGAGGACCCCTTCACACAGGAGACAAGCAGTCAGTCTCTTATGACGATGCTGACCGAAGGTCTCTGGCTGGATCTTGGACTCAGAGAAGCTGTAAGTGATGGCATTCTCCTACGAGATGAAGAGTCACATGACCAACCTGTAGGCCTTTGCAGCTTTCAGTGGCGTAGCCTCGAAGCCCACTGGGCAGAAGTAGTGGTTCTGACAGTGGTAAATGTAGGCCATGGACTCATCCTTCAAGCCTTGGGTCAGCTTCATCAGCGCGCCTTCAGCTATGGAGCAGAGAGCAACCGTTACTCCTCCAACATCACTCCTCCAGCAGGGATCCGCCGACGGGAGACTCACCCGTTTCTCCTGCCGTCTTGTGTTTACCGTGAGGTTTGTACAAAATGTAGGAACAACCTCGCACTCGGAAATTGTCGTTGAGCTGCCTGAACCACCTGTAAGGACGGGTTGGGGGAAAAGGGATCGGACCGTTTAAGAAGGTGTAATAAGTGCTTTTCTTTTGCTAAAAACTAGGAGGGAAACCATTTGTGTACCGCATCAACGTGGCGTTGCCAGTGAAGGGGCCAAACTTGATGTCTTCGAAAGGAGGCTGAAAGCCCAGAATGTGCAGCGCCTCCTCCTGGGAGATGGGTGAAAGGCTAGCCAAGCAAATAACAGACATGAAGTTAAATGGAGAAGATTGTTTTACACATGAAACTTTCATATTCAGTGAGTACAACTCCATGTTCTTTACATAACCAGACAGATTGTGAGGGGCAGCTTTCTCAAGATCAAGTAAACTTGGCATTCACCCAACATCTACGTACTGACCAGGACCAACAAAAAATGAGTGAAATGTCCTAAAAAGTGACTATTTGAATGGAATCCCTTATTGGTTTTTTTTTCATATACAACAGAAATCACTTTACTTTTGATTGATACTGTTGAATAGTTCCTACAGTAAACTCAACGGAAAAGTCATGAATCAAAAAGAAGGCACCCATAATTTATCGTTTAGAGTCAACCATCACTGCCAACAGGAGATCTCTGTACGTCACGGTGACTTGGCTGGATTTGGGTACAAGTAGGTTGTAAGTAGTCCAAAGTACTTTGGACATGAAAGCAGGAATTCTTCTTGCTCCTGCTTTCATGTCCTCCATATAAGTTACATAAGGATAAAGATGTAGGCTCATGGAGGAGCATTAAACAACAACATGTCGATGTTGTTTTCTTATTGTTTGGACTCAGGACTAACACCTTGATGGTGCAGAGTCTTCATGTCCATCTTGCATAGATTCAAGGCTTCCTGAGTCTAGACGTGACAGTGTCTCTGCAAACAGACTTGGTCTTGGGTTAGCAGTCACCCCACTGTTTGCCAGCTTCGCAACTTTTTCGGTAAATTTAGCGCAATCACTACAAGAAAAATTGGAATCGGCAGGTCCAGGTTCTAAAAATGCATACGTACATAATTTGGGTCTTCTTAACGCAAAGCTAACTGGATTAGATATTGAGTGTATGGGTTCAGGAGTCTCACACTAAATAAGACCGGAGCGACTCAAGCCGCTCACCTTCCTGCACCCAGAGTGCTGTACAGGAAGTTCCAACAGGACACCAGAGAGGAAATGCCACAAGACGTCTTGTACTGCGGCCGGCTGATGCAGTACCTGCAGGAACAGAGATGTAAAGGGTTAACGTCGTCTCACACAAAGCAGGTGGAACAGCTCAAATTCTGACCTGTGGCTCACACCTCTGACCCCTATCAGCACTAATAATTCTTGTAAACGTGCCTTAAGGTTTCTAGGAAATTATGCAAATGAAGCTTTTTTTTTTTTTTGTCTCCTGCAAAATGAAATCGGCTTCCTGTCTGTCCAAACCCGTTACAATTAAAGGTCGGCAGGATAGTAGCTGCAAAACCAATGTTGCTTTATAGTTTTATATGCTTATATGTTGGGACTTAAAGAGACTCTAAGGTCATTCTGCATCACATCGATGTTTGGAATTGACCTCTAAGGCATTCACTGTCGACTGAACCCTCAGTCGATAAACAAGGAGGCAGAAAAAAAAAAACACTGGTTGATAAATAAATTAAAATTTATAGTAAACCATCAGACTGTCTGAAATGGATCCATTTACAGTATTGTCAAGTAATAACCCCAGCCTCTTATCTAGCCTAACAGTGCCTAGCAGAAGTATTCAAACTTCTTGCATTTTTCCGCATTTTGTCACATTACAATCACAAATTTCACAATATTATTCTCATATTAGCCTACAATTACAAAGTGGATGGAATTATAAGTGGAGTGCATTTTCAACCTTTCAGCTGACACCTCTAAATAAAATCCAATGACCTTATTGATACACAAGTCTACATTTGTATAGTTTAACTTATAAATGCAGCTTTTTTTTGTACCAAATATAATTTCTGAAACACATGTAAAACACTATCAACGGTGCATGTCACTAAGAAAATACCATCACATTGTGATACATGGTGGCGGCAGCATCATGATCAGCAAAACAGCCAAAAGATTTCAGTCTCTAGGCTGGTGGAGACATCCCAAAAAAGACTTTTCTTGTGATGTCTCAGAGTAGCTGAATACATATAATATTTTTTCAGATGTTGTATTTGCAAACAATTTTTGAGAACCATGCATCAGATTTCCGCCTCATCTTGCATTAAATTCCACCAAAATATAACAAGGTTTTTTGAGGCTTTAAAGAAAGTTTTGTGTGTTTTCCAGGCACATGGTGCCATTTCATAGCACAATTAAGTAACTGGGTTATCTGCAGTTGTTATAAAATGCTGTATATATCAAATATGATTTAAAAGAAACGTTAATGCCTTGAAATTAGGCCTTTACCGCTTTAAAAACTCCTGCTCTTTCTGAAACTCCGCCTTCAGGAAGCCATCACAACATGTCTCTGCTGGCTAGTCTGAAGGATCTGAGTGAGGAAACTGCAGCTCGGACGAGGAGCTGCGTCTCAAAGGCGGAGCTAGGCCCACCTAGGTGTTTTTCACAGCATGAATGTTGTCATTCATGCTGTGCAAGAATCAAAAAAACACTCCATCTATGTTTTGGATGAGGGAATAACATTATAATGATGTGGAGCTCAAAAATGTTGATTTTACGTAATATTTCTCCTATAAATTGGCACAATATGATACATTTTAAAGAATGTAAAGGGAACTGCAAGTTTTTTGCGAAGAAGACAAAAGAACAGAGATCAATGTTACCATCTTCTGAGGTCCAGCACTTTCCTCTGTTTGATCTCCTCCAGTGATGCATGAACAGGGACATCCTGCAGATTCCTGCTGGGTCTGTCTGCAGCCCTCATCTTCTTAGAGCTGCATTTCTTCCCATTACCTGGAAAAAATAGGGCAGACAATTATTGGATCAACACTGTCCAATAAGTATATAGCTGATATGGAAGTTAACGACCATGCAGCCAATTAAAGTAGATGTTTATGGTAAGCTTACTGGTTCTTATTTTTCTAGTGAATACAGTATTAAAGTCCGCTGTGTCAATCTCCCAAGCCAGAAGAGGCTTAGCGTGGCCGGAGGACACCTCATCCACGTCGCAGTCCCCGTCCGACCCCACAGGACCCCCCCCAGTGTGGCCGCCGCTGAAGTCCGAGGAGGCTTTGGGCTTCCCGAGCGGGGCCCCGTCCTCCTGCTTGTTCCTGGCCACCTTCGGCGGACAGCAGTACACGGAGGCCGCCTGGTTGAGCAAAGCGTAGTCGGAGCAGACCGTGTAGAACTTTTCCCGGGAGTGCGTGACCGGGCAGGTCCACTGCAGGTGAAGCTCAGCACTCGAAGCCCGCCTCAGCCTCGCGGCGTCCCGGGCGAGAGAGCTGATCAGCCCATGGTCCTCCTCCTCCTCTCCATCCGCGGGCCTCTGCAGCCCCGACTGCTCCGCGGGCCGGGGGAGATTCGCTCCTTGACCTTCTGATGTGTTAGGCATCGGGGCGCTGCGTGCAGTGATGGAGGACGGAGGTGGCCGAGAATGAGGGCGTCTTCTCTGGGGATAAAAGAGCAGAGCTGGAGGAAAGATGGAGGTGATGTCACAGACTCCTCACGCGGAGGTTACTTTCAACACATGAAAAACAGAGATCCGACTCAGTTGTTTAACGCACAGCAAAGCAATATAGTGAAAATAATTTAACAATACATTACCTTTAACCCAAGACGAGTCGTCGCGTATTAGGAAACTAGAGAAAGAGCCCGGCTAGCCCGCCTGGTGCTAGCTCTGCGGCTATTAAACATTAACTAAACATCATGTCACCTGTGAAGCCGCAGCTGAACGAGCGCAGCTACATCCCTCCGACTCTGGAGTTAGCTGGCATAAACAATACCCTCTAGTCGGCGTGGTTGTTTTTTTTTGTTTTTTTGTTTGTTTGTTTGTTTTTTTGTTCTCTCGGCTGTTTCTTAGGACCCCGGAGGTCAGCTAACTGTTCGCCATTTCACATCGACATTTACCGAGCAATAACTCCGTTGCAGTAAACAATTAAAGCTGAAAATCCCGTTACTTCGCCCTGCTGACCCGTATCTTCCTCCCAAGCAGGCTCACAGGACTGTACCATTCCGGACACAAAATTTCGGGAAGAGCCAAACAAATATTTCAAAATAAAGACAATAATAAATGGAATAAAAATAATACATGCACATGTAGTTAACATTTCAGGATTTTTAGTTTGAAAAATATAACTTTTATAACGCTGTATTTAAAATAAGTAGTATTTGTACATCACTGTCTTCGAATCTCACCCCCCGCCGTCAGTTCGTATTGCAACGGTTCCACATTTTTAAACCAATCACAAGAAAGAACTCAAGTGGGTGTTTAAACCATACACTGAGGTAAGTCAGGTGTTTATTGGCAATACTTTTTAAACAGTAAAGTATGGAGTAGAACATATTATACTTCCTCATACAACTTTAAATTGGCAAAAGAGTAAGTTTATTAACATTTTCAAGCTACGGCACAGCAAATTATAGTTTGTGAGAGCTATCAGAGATTGGGTACTGTTTAGAATTATACAGCTTGACTTCTTACCCACTTTTGCTAACATACAACCATAAACTGAAATGTGTATTGTTGAAAGGAAAAACAATGCAAAGATTCCAATTTATTTTGAACAAAATTCTTAAAAATGTGCATCCAAAGTGTATGTCAGTCAGCTTGTTCACATCTAGAGATTAAAAGATGCAAGGAAACGTAATTCCTAAAATGCGACAATGTGTATCATGGTTTCTTTCATCTGTAAAGGATTTTATTAGGAAATTGTAAATTGGTAGATGTAACATCTTAGTGAGCCTGTGCAGAAATCCTGGGGATCAAACATTAGCTTTGTAACCAAAAGGACTTCACTTGTGGTTTATTGTTTACCAGAGAACAGAACAGCGCACTCTTCAATGACCTTTAAGGAATGAACCACAAAGGCCTCAAAGATCTAGGGAAGTTTTAAGCTCTTAAACTGTTGAGTCCAAACTTCTTTAGCAAGACACAGGAGTGGACTAAAAATAAAGAAAACCTATCACCCGGAGCTTGATGTAACCTGAAGCATTTCCTGACACTGACCGTGCGTATACATAGATGTGGGCTTAGCTATGGAAGTCAACTTTAGTCTTGGCTATTCTCATGCTAGTCCATAGCTTCATCCTTCAGCAACAGCTAATCGACATTTGTACTAAGTGACACCAAGAGAGTTCTCTACAGCTGGTTGTAACAGAACATGTCTTCAAAATATGTTTTCACACCTGATAACTCGGTAGACTTGGTTCAACTGGGGACCAAAATCGCAGCATTTATGTTTTCAGCTGGTGCGGTTTGCTTTCACAGTGCACTGCGTCAGACGGAGCAAATCCTTTGAAAAACCTGTTCACCTCCTTCCAGGCGGTGGCGCTGCACCAATAACTACTGAAGGAAATGACACAAAAGCCTCAGAAGAAGACAATGTAAATGTAAACAAAAACGGAGTAGCCTCAAATTTTATCAGCTAGTTGATTTCTTTTTTGTCTTTGGTAAAAGACCTATAGCGCGGCTAGACTCATGTTTGTTTTGATTGTATTTACCCAGAATGCCTTGCGCTACAGTCCGCATCCTGTCTGTGGAGCGCTCTCCTGTCCACATATGCATTCAAAACGCACCAGAGTTCACTTCAACCGAACTGACATTTATATTTTTAGGCGACCAGAGTCCTCGTCAGAAATTCATTACGCATTCACGCCTCCCCAAACAAACGGGACTTTGTTAGCAAACGAACTAAAGTTTTATTAAAGCGGATTAAACATGGCTAGTATGAATGCGCCATAAATGAGCTTGGCATAGTACATCCCATGACACATTGCTTTTTAAAGTACGGTCCGTTTGTCTGTAGAACACATTTGACAACATAATTATGTCCATAAATTATTTTATGATACCCCTAGCATCTTGACGCCCTGGGCAACTGTTGATGTTTATATAATTGTTTAGACAGGCTCTTAAGAGATCTAATTTGACAATAATTACATAAAACTTAGAATTCTTTCCTTTCCATTAACGTTTGCTTTATTTTTATACCTTTAAGATAAACTTTGAAAAATAACACTGATTTGGGGGGTGCTGAGCAGCGGCAAAGCACAACCCATGTATAGAGGCCTTAGTTCTCGTGGTAGTGGTCACAGGTTTGATTCCCGGCCTGGTGACATTTGCTGCATGTCTTCCCCCTCTCTCATTACCCTCTTTCCTGTCAAACTACTTTCAAATAAAGGCCACTATTTAAAAAACCCCCCCACTGATTTAGTTCTTGGTATGCTTGGTGTGTCCAGGATCACAACAAGGTGAACCATGGCAAACAAGTTGGTGATCATCGACACAGACTGCGGCATTGACGACGCTCAGGCCATAATGATGGCCTTGGCGGCGCCCAACCTGGAGGTCCTGGCCGTCACCTGCGTGTTTGGGAACGCCGCGGTGGAGAACGTGTGTCAGAACATTTTGCGGGTTCTCTCTGTCTGCGATCGCCAGGGGGTGCGTCTGCTGGAGCAGAACCTGAAGAAGAATTACACTCCAATGTTTTAGAATAAAGGTTTACAGTCCTTATTCATGGCTTTACATTTCCTGTCCGCGCTCCTGCAGATTCCAGTGTTTCAAGGCAGTGCTGGTCCTCTTGTTGGAGTCAGTTGGAGCCCATTCAGTGACCACTTTGGAGGTGACGGACTTGGGGATGTGCTAGAGGACAAAGATCCTCAGTGGAAGGAGAAAATTCAACAGGAGCACGCTGTCAATGCCATGATTAGACTGGCATCTAAATATGAGAATCAGGTAAGAAGTCCCAGTATTTTTATGTGTGTGGGCGACTCTCTGGCGTTCCAATATCTCCTACCACCACAGGTCTCCTTGGTGGCCCTGGGCCCGCTCACTAACCTGGCGCTGGCCGTCAGACTGGATCCACGTTTTCCCCAAAAGCTCGGAGAGCTCTTCATCATGGGAGGCAACATGGAAGGTAAGGAAGCAGTTCAAATGCTGCCATGTGCAAGATGACTGGCCTCGAAACACTCGTTTCTGTTACTGCAGGAAAGGGGAACGTGACCATCTGTGCGGAGTTCAACTTTGCAATGGATCCAGAATCGGCTTACGTTGTTCTAGAAGAGTTCATCTGCCCTACTTACCTCGCTACATGGGAATACTGCTGCAGAAATGCCCTGACTTGGGTAGGCTGATCAAAGAGTGCCTTGTAAAACAATTTTACAGTCCATAAGTGTTTCCATGACAAAAATAAGAAAAGTTCAAGGGGCATGAAGACTTTTGCGAGGTCTCGTAAATGAAAACTACACTGGATGATGATGTTACTATGGCATATTATGGACAGGTAGATTTAAAAAGGAATAGGTTTCCGCCCAAAAAAAAACGCCTTTCTTTATAGATTAATCTCAGAACAGTTTAAGTCTAAGTCTAAAACGGTTGACTTTAGAAACTCAGAAAATTTCTCAAAAATAAAGAAAAGTATTTACTTTTGAAACTCAGAAATGTTGAAATTAATCACAGAGTAATATTTCTGTGATATCAAAATTTTGAGTTTTCCTCTCAAATTTTCAACATGTGGAATTCAGAAATGTCCTTGTCTTTTTAGAACATTTCTGACTTTAATCTAAAAATTCCTTAGTTTTTTTTCTGGCAGAAATGTAGATTTTCCATCGACAATGGCCCTCAAGCGCAGTTGTATGACCCATCCCACAACTCATCGTTTCGCAGGAGTTCTTTGAAGAGCTGGTCAACCAGGACTTCCCGGCGGCCCGCTTCATGAAGGCGGTGACATCGAAGTGTTGGGCCTACTCCAAAGAAGCCATGAAGAACAAGAGAGACGTGTACTTCGGGCCTGGCTTCGTCTCTTATGACTCCTACGCGATGGCGGCCTGCGTGGACGGCAGCACGGTGCTGGAGAGCATCGAGTGCCCGGTGCGCGTGGAGCTGCAGGGCTCCATGAGCCGCGGCATGTTGGTGCTGGATCGCACAAAGTCTCTGAAGAAGAGCCACGCCGTGAGGGTAATGTCTAAATGCGATGTGAAGAAGCTTGGTCGGCTCCTAATGGAGTCTCTCAAACAACCGTGGAGGAAGTAACCCGTTCAGCTGTAAGGTTCATTTTTCTTCTGACAATACCTTCAAATGAGGGACAAACTTTACAAGGATAAACATTTTTTGTTGCTGTTTTTCCCCCCCTGTATGCCATTATTATCTGGGTCAGAGTTTGGACCAAACTTTAACCATCAATCAGATGGTGTCACATTCGACTTTGGATTGGTAGAGACATTCAAGGATCAACGCAACAATCAATGTCCTGCACATGAAGGTCAAGTAATTACCACAGTGAATGCTAGTTTTCTGTAATATTTGTAGATTTGTAAATAATTGCTGGAAAATTTGCATGGACCAATTTCATATAGGAAAATACACTGAAAATCTAAAACAAACATGGGTTATGACTCATGAAAGACAAAACTTTGTGTTTCCTCTTTCTAGTTAAACAAGATACATTTCAGTGAAAATATCACCCTAAAAAATATATATTTTTTAGGTGTTAATCTGTTGTGTGTTATTCTTGGAATCATTTGTTAAGGCCATTTCATTTTAAAGGTTTTGGTGTTGAACACTTGAATTTTTAAAAAACTGTATTTTAACTATAACATAGGGATTTAAATCACATGTAAAAGAAAAAAAAAATCAGTTTTAGATTTTAAAATATACCCAAGTTCATCAGCTTCTTTAACAAAACAAGTGAAAGAATCCAAGAGGTGTAGTTTTTCCTTATAGTCTAGCAGAGGGCAGCAGACAACCAGTAGCGCTGCAACGGAAGCATGAATTGTTGCATCATGCTGACATGTTTTTTATCTTTTTGAGGAAGAGGAACAGCACACGCTCTAAAAAGAACAAACAGCTGCACCCTTGTAGCACCTGGTCCAGATTCCAGACAGTATTTCATAAGCAAAAATAAGCATCCAGACAGAAAAGCTAAAGATGTTAACTCATAATCAGAGGAAGACTGACCGGTTACTCTGCCCTTCGTGGGGCAGAGCTTAAAGTGCTTATTAAAATATCCCGGAGAGAAATGGGACATGCCTTCAGGAATTCAATACATCATAATTTCTTACCACCTTATTCTACAAAAACATATTGAAGAATTGATTATAATAAATTAAATGCATTAAAATGCTAATAAAAGTAATGATGGAAAATGAAATTTAACTTTTGCTCCGTTTGTGTTTGAGAGGATAAATCCTTTGTTTCTGTTCATAAACAAGGAATTTGACTTTGGTTTCACATACTCCCGTCATGCTGAAATATGTAAACTTTAGGGAAATTTAAAGAGACAGCTAAAGAACATTATATTCACAGTTGCCGACTGCTCTGACTGTAAGGTGTTCATTATGTTCATAAAAGACAGATTGGGGTAAGAAACTGGCTGGTTTTTGCAATAACCCCTTTTAGCTGAAGGTAAAAGGTTTAAACAGCTTGTGACCAGGATGTGTGGGGTCTGCTGAGAAGTTAGCTTTCCTCTAGTTCTATTCAAAATAACAGTCCAACATCGCTAACCAGATCAACCACACTTTGAGGCAGAACTATTTCAAAACATTAATAATTTACTAGCGAAACTAATCAAAACATCAGTTTACAAAAAAAAAAAAAAAAGTTCTCAATGGTGTTATTCATACTGGGTAAAAAAAAATGGACAGGTAAGATAAGTAAAGATTCAAGTCTTAGCTGAGCATATTCTACGCATTTCCTGGAAAGCAAAACTGCCAGACAAAAAATGTTTTTCATGAAAAACATTTAAAAATCACGATTCCTTTTTCTTTCACTTAAGTTATTAAAACCAGGTTCTGGTTCCATCTTGCTTGGACTTTCTCTGCAGTCAAGATTCTCAAAGACATTCTTAAAGGCTTTTCTTTGTGTTCCTGTAATCACTACACTCTGATGAAAGTGAAGCAAATTTGATCCAATGTCAGCTTTTTTTTAAAAAAAAGTTTTAATTCATTCAGTATATCTGTTATGTGATCACTTGTGGTGATAATTTGTCAGATTTGTAATCGGCAAAACATTTAAAAACCGTTTCAGAAACTATACTTGTGATGCTTGAAGCAGATTATCACATTATAAGCAAATTCTTCGTTACCACATATATTTCCTGTCAGAACTTGTACAAACAATTCAATTTAGTTTATTTCGTGCATATTCACAACAAATGTCTTGAGACACTACAAAAAAAAATTCAAGAGTAAATGAAGAGGAAAACCCAGATTTTCTGCTGAAATCCTTTAATTAAATTAGCAGACAAACAAAGGCGACAAGAGTACAGTTCAAACCCCAAACTGAGGAATTTAGTTTTACTTGATCGTTAGACCAAATAATTCCACTTTAAAAATGGACAACATAAATGTTCCTAAAACTTTTATGGGATGAGTATACCAAAAAAAAAGCTAAATATCCAATACAAATCCAATTTTATTTATTTATTTTTAAATAAAGATCCCTTCTGCCGAATAAAAAGCAAAGTGTAATGATCCCGATGTGAATGACTGTAAATTTTGGCCTCTGTTTTAAAAAACAAATTTGTTTTTTAAACAAAGAAATTTGTTTGTTTAAAAAACAAACACATTTTTTAATATTAAGAAACCAATAAATGTGAAATGTGGCTTCAAATAAGTTATTTAATACTAAACCTTTAGCGGCTCTGCCATGTTTCTGAGAAGGAATGCAGCATTAATAGCCTTTCTATGCCATCTGCGCACTGCAAAAACACAAATTACCACCAAGTAATTTTGATCTAGTTTTTAGTGCAAATATCTCGGTACACCTGAAATAAGAAAAAAGCTAACTTACAAGCAACTTCTCAGCAAGATAAAGGAAAAAGAACTAGTACTTTTTCTTCAGTATTAAGGAATTATTGGCTCAAAACAAGCTCCTTTATCTTGCTGAAAAGTTACTTAAGTTTTTTTTTTCCTTATATCAAGTATACTAATATATTTGCACTAGAAACCAGAACAAAAGTGCATTGTGGTTTTACAGTGCGCTTATTTCAGGGGTATCCTGTTAAAACAAACCCAAATAAAAAGTTAGCATCACTGCCCTCAGGAATAAAAAAGCTGCAGAGAAATAAACGTGGCGCTAATCCATAGCTCCCCGTAACGTTGATGTCTGGAGGAGGGGGCGGGGCTTCTCTGATAGTAAAAGACTCGTTTAGCGTACAGGTAACTTTCGCCAGGTGCTGCTTAGTTGCCGGTATCAGAGGAGCTGGGCCAGGGCTCGGAGCTGCGCCTGGTCAGGGTTGGAAGCCATCCACTCCAGGGGTTGAAGGTCCTGCTCATCTCCGAGGGAGTCGTCGGCGACTGTGACGGTGACGGGGCGGCGCAGCTCACCAGAGTGGTCAGAGCAGCCGAGCCAGTTGACGGTGAGTACGGGTGCAGTGTGGAATCTGCGCCCGTTGACCAGATGGAGTTGCTGAAGGGCGTGGTGGCAGACCACGGGCTGCAAGTGTTTCCCAGGAACGACTGTGGCAAAAAAAAACAAAAAAACAATGGAATCACTGAACAGAGCGAGCCACGGCGGTGACCGAAAGCGCTGTGGGGCGGGGAGCTTACGGCCGTCGGGGCGGTGGGCGAGCCGGAGCTGCTGGGCCAGGAGTGCAGGGGGTCGCTGCTGGGCATGTCCCAGATGGCCGGGGTGAACTCGGGCCAGCTCGGCTGAGGCTCCGAAGGCTTTGGGAGATTCATCCCACTGAAAACTAAAGCAGACGCACGAGAACGCATGGCGTGACTTTGGCTGTCTAACCATGTTACGCAACATGCTCGGGATCAGGCGAGCATGTTGGGATCAGGCAGGATCAGGTTACGTACCTTGTGTCAGGTTGAAGGAGCTGTTGGGTCCGAAAGCAGAGAAAGAGTTGTCAGATTTGTAGTTTGGACTGCCGACCGTGTCGATCGGACTCCATAATCCAGAACTTCAGGAGGAAAGGGGAAAAAAAAAAAAAAAAGGGGAAGAAGAAAATTAGGAATGGCGCGTAGATGCTTCAGACTGAATGTATGTTTTTTTTTTTTTTTTTCCTGTACCTGTCTGAACTGTCGCTTTCCACTGACATCATGTTGGCCAGAGTCTTGGCTTGGTTGTCTCCTTTTCCCGGGCCGGAGCCGCCTGCAGAGAGCATCCAACCTTACTGCTGAGGCAACCCCATCACTGGCTGCGTTTCCGTTACAAATGTGCACATAACTTTGTCAATATTTCACCAAACACGATTTCGTAAATGCGGTGTTTCCATAAAAAACGCGAATAAAGTCCTGCGTGAATAAGATTGACATTAAAAATCACGCCACCATCGTCTGACAGCTCCCTGTCATCTTTATCGTCTTTTCTGCAAGGAGTAGAGAAGATGAAAAAGACGTTTCAAGTGGTTTGCCACAAAAACACTTGCAAAATTTGTGTATTTTGCGAAAAACACAAATTTCGAAAAAGAACACGACATCCTAGTGCAAAAACGTATCAAAAAAACGTGAGTTTTTCAAAATGGGAGTAAATGTATTTTCAGAATTACAATTTTCACAATTATATGGTTGCGTTTTCTTTGACCTTTGTACTGCGCAAATTGGAATTACGAAAATAGATTCATTTAATGGAAACAATCAAATTAAGAAAAAATGTTTTTCACAAAAAAAATAAACTTTCAGCATCACACTGGTTTGTATACCGCAGCACACGATTAATGAAAAGTTGTCATTAAAAAATGGTTGAATCTGTTGCTCTTCTGTAAAAACTCAGACTGCAATTTCCCGAAAACTCTGCATATATCCATAGCCGCTTCCAAATACCGCGTGAACACACTTATCCATGTGTGATTTTAATTTAACTTCTTATTTAATGGAAACACCGCTATTGCAAAATTGTGTTTTTTCCTCGACATCTGCAGGATACGGAAAAAGTTCTGCGCGAGTTTGTAAGGGAAACGCAGCTGCTGTTGGGGCTGCGGTACCACGCTCGCTGCAAACTCACCTGGGCTTTTGTCGTAACCTGCGGCTACAGCGGCGAAAGTGGGGTTGCCGTTCTTGCCTGGGAGTGGTGCGCCTGCAGACGGCTTATTTCCTGGGGCCTTTTTCTGGTTCAGCTCGCTGGGAAAACAAAACAAAGGCAAATCTTTAGAAGCATTTTCAAACTAATCCAGCTTATTCATAAAGCAGTTTGTACAACGTTACGGAGAAATCGTCCCGACTCGTGGAAAACAATTAATAGCTACATTATTGAGGAAAACTACAACAGCGTTAATGGGTTTTGCATCCTATGCGATACAGAAAATTCACACGCCGTAGACAAGAGGGCCGTCAACCACTTGCACTTTGCACCGCTAGTTTAAAAACAAACTAACGCAGGTATATAAAGTTCAAAATGGCGGACCGCATGGACAAAGACATACATTGTCAGGTATGAGTTGTTATTTTTCATATACATACTGATGTGAGAGGACTTGCTTTTGTAAAATATTCTTTAAGAGTGATTTAATATACACTGCTCAAAAAAATAAAGGGAACACTCAAATAACACATCCTTGATCTGAATGAATGAAATATTCTCATTGAATACTTTGTTCAGTACAAAGTTGAATGTGCTGACAACAAAATCACACAAAAATCATCAATGGAAATCAAATTTATTAACCAATGGAGGCCTGGATTTGGAGCCACACACAAAATTAAAGTGAAATGTTCCCTTTATTTTTTTGAGCAGTATATATATTTTCAAAAAAATATTAATTACATTTAAACAGCTTACATATCGAGACGTGAAATGTCCGTAACCTGGGGGATACGTTGTCCAGTTAGGGTACAAAAGAGGAATAGTTACACTCAAATTTTCTTTTATTTTCAGTCATTAAATTTATAGATAATCGCTATTAAAACAGTGCTTAAGCTTTGTTTTACCCTCAAATGTAGACTATTTTAATTTATTGTGTATTATTTATGAATTCAGGGTATTTCAGTGCAGATTTTCTAAGGCTAGAGGAAGATTGATCCTTGTACAGAGTCAGGTTCTGGTTCTGCTGGAGGTTTCTTCCTGTTAAAGGACAATTTTACCAATCCACTGTCACTACATGCATGCCGAATAACAATGACAGGGTTCAATTGAATTTCTTTTAACAAATGTCTCAAGTTGGTTAATTGCTGCTAAATTGAATTGATACCGATTTGTGGTATTTGTTTTTACATTTTGAAATGCAAAACACATAAAAACAAGGTAGATTCATTGCTTACAATATTTTAAATTTTA